CCTCTTAAACGCATAAATCAAAAGAGTAACTCAAACAAATATTAGCACAAACTAAAAACTAAATAATAATAATAATAATAATAATAACGATAATAATAATACTACTAATAATAATAATGATAATAGTAATAATAATAATAATAAAAATAGAAATAAAAATAAAATACTCAATAAGTTAAACAAAGAATTCTCAAAGAACACCGTTCCCCGGTAACGACGCCAGAAATAGTTGTTGAATTATTGGCAAGCATACCAAAATTATCAATCGCAGTATAGTATTTCAATTAAATAAAAGTCGATCCCACGAGGAACAGTTTCAATGGAAATTCCCAATTATGCTTACTAAGTAGATTAAACAGATTGAGTTTTGCAAATAAGAGTTGAATTGAAATTAAATGACAAAGAACTGTAAATTGTTGAGAAAATATTAATTAAAGGTACTTAGGATTGACTTCCTTCCTTATTCCTCTTTTGTAATGGCTATGTCAATTAAGAACGTCAATTAACCTAACAATGTTGATGTCACCTACTCAAATCATCCATGTTGATTCTTCACACATGAAATTCATAAGAAAACCTAATAAATGTTGATTCCTCACACAATTAAGAGATTTTCCAGCATTAGGTTTAGGGTGTTTAAGCAATTGATACATTCATTCCATTCCTGACAATTAACATAACAAATATTCTTACCGTGATCTAGGGTTAAAGATATATTTTTCAATCATACCTCAAACAATCAAGAATAAATCATTCCAAAGCATAAAGGATAAGAATAACGACATCAAAGCATAGATTAATATCTTAAAATATCACCATGATACAAAAGAGTTCAAAGGAAGTGCACCGAATCCTAAGAGAATGAAGTTAGTCACTCATGTTGGCCATTACAATGCTCCAATTGATGAAGAAGTGAATAATTGATGAAGATTGGACAAAACCCTAACAGTAGTCGTGCCTCCTCCTCTCCAAGACTGCTTGTTTATCTTAAAACACAACTTATCTTTTTATAAGAGAATTTGGGTCGGGCCTCGCATCATTCATTCGCTTAAGCGTTCTTCTTTATTTTAATTTTACTATAATTATGCTGACAATTGTGCTCCTTACTCTTGTATCAAGGTATTCTCGAATTCATCCTATATTGGGAGAAAAATATATTAGAATTAACATAAGTTAAGTGGTTTCATAACAATTTAAGGCATAATTATATCAACTTTTTACCACTTAATAATCAAGCAGCTCAACCTTCACATCATTTAAAAAAAAAAGAAAAATGCTTGAGAAATCCTCTTCTTGATCTTATTTGTCACTACTATATATTTCACACTCTTATATTTGCCATTACTCCACAACTACTGTCATTTTAAAAGAAATAAGTTTAGTGTCACTAATTAAACAACTTAATCTTTTGGGACTACTTTCCAAGTTTGAAGTCTTATATTATAGGATTAAAATTTTTTAGGTTTATATACTATTATTGATTTTAGTTTGAAAACGAGTTTCTTTGGGTTCATGTCATATCTGATCCAGTGTATGTTAGTGGGAAAATGTCTTGAATAGATTATTGAGAGAGAAAAATAGTATAGAGAGGTGTTATCAGAAAGTGAAAGTAATCAATGTGTTATTACTTACTATGCATACTTATAAATCAACTGTATATAGATACAAGTTTATAATCGAAAGCTGAAAGTTAATTAGGTCTAACATTTGAACAAAATCAATCGTTATTAATTACAATTGCTAAATTATTATCAAACATAACCTCCTAATTCAACAATCATTTTACATTTAAGTTTTTTCTCAATTCTTCAAATCATCGATTGTTCGAAGGCTTTATCATGATGTTAGTCAACTCTTCCTTAGTGCCACAGTATTTTTTAGCTTTAGCTTGATGCAAGATTTGATATGATTCCTATCGCGATTGAAAAATCCAAGAATTTGGATTTGTTAAAGTTGGAAGAATTATAGGGGTTATTGTAGGCTCATGAATAATGTTACGTGAAAGAGTAGATGATAAAATCAATTCATAATAAGCCTAATTGGTGAAGGAAAATTAGAAGAATGATGGTGATTGAGGAGACACTACAAAAAAAAGGCTATTACCTACGGAATATTACCTACGGATAAAAATCCGTAGATAAATTTTACATTACCTACGGATATTACCCACGGATGAAAATTCGTAGGTAATTATCCATTACCTACGGATATTATTCGTAGGTAATTATCCATTACCTACGGATATTATTCGTACGTAATGTAATCCGTGGATAATTCCGTAGGTAAAGTGTATTTTACCTACGGATATTACCTACGGAATTCTATCCGTGAGTAATTCCGTAGGTAATTACCTACGGAATTAGTATCCGTAGGTAAATTATATTAAACTAAAAGAATTGTCCCTAGCAAGAATCGAACCCAAGTACCTTAAAGTTGAAAACTGATATTCCAACCACTAAACTATTAGAATATTCTAATAATAATTTACAACTAAATTATACTTATATTTATTCGTGTAAATATATAAATATATAAATATATAAATATAAAATATAAAATATATAAATATATAAATATAAAAATACATAAATACATAAATACATAAATATATAAATACATAAATACATCAATATATAAATAGATAAATATATAAATATATAAATACATGAATATATAAATACATGAATATATAAATAGATAAATACATAATTATATAAATATAAATATATAAATATAAATATAAATATAAATATATAAATATATAAATATATAAATATATAAATATATAAATATATAAATATATAAATATATAAATATATAAATATAAATATATAAATACAAATATATAAATATATAAATATATCAAAATATAAATATATTTTATATTTATATATTTTATATTTATATTTATATTTATATATTTTATATTTATATATATTTTTTATATTTATATATATTTTATATTTATATATATTTTATATTTATATATATTTATATATTTACACGGATAAATATAAATATAATTTATTTGTATATTATTATCAAAATATCTTAATAGCTTAGTGGTTGGAGTATCGACCTCCAACTCGAAGTACTGGAGTACTGGGTTTGAATCCTACCAATGACAATTCCCTTACCTATGACCAAATTACATACAGATTTTCTACGGATTTTACCCATAGATAATAAGCGCTTTTTTTGTAGTGAGAATTCAACAAGAGAGGTTGCGAAAGAGGTTTTAGAGGAAAAAATAATAGAGGTCGAGGTTCAAAATGATAACAGGAGAGTTCTTTATAATCGAGAAATGACAAAGACAGAAATTCATTATGGAGAGGTGATCGATTTGGTGGTAATAAAAGTTATATATAGTGCTATAATTGTTACAAATATGACCATTATGCAGCTAATTGTTGGAGAATAGGTTTAAATAATAATGAAGAAGAAGCAAATGTGGCAGAAAAGGAAGACTCCTATGATGAAGTGTTGTTGATGTTGACCACAACAAAACCAAAATTTTGGTATTTGGATACAAGTTGTTCTAATCATATATCATTTCAGAAAATTTGATTTGTTGAATTAGATGAAAAGATTAATTGAAGGTGAAGTTTGTACATAATTCTACAGTAAATTATGAAGGGAAAGGAAAGATTTTGATTAGATGAAGAGATGAGAAATCTGCAATAATTTTATATGTGCTCTATGTTCCAGCCTTAAAGCACAACCTATTAAGTAATGATAAATTTTTACAAAAAGGACATTTAATCGATTGGAGATCGAATGAACAGATGTTGAGAATTCTCGATAAAAATGACGAATTGATTTTGAAGGCTCCTCTGAGCCAAAACAATACTTTTAGAGTCGATATTTCATTATCAAATCATATGTGTTTTGCAACTAGCTGCGCTTTTTAATGTCAACTGGTTGTAACATTTGAGGTAAGATCATATAAATTTTGATAGTTTGAGTCAACTTGCAAAGAAACAGGTGGTGATAGGATTGCCTCAAATTTAGAAGTGTAAAGATATATGAAAGTTACATGATAGAGAAATAAACAATAAATCTCTCTAAGGTGTGTATCGAGACTAGGAATAAATGAGTGTTAGAAGTCATCTACACTGATGTGTGTGGACCTTTTGATGTATCATCTCTTAGTGAAAACATGTACTTTATTATGTTCAGTGATGATTTCAATAAGAAAATATAGTTATAATTGCTCAAGAGAAAATAATTTTTTTTTAACTACTTTGTCAAGTTCAAAAGGTTGGTCAAGAAATAAAGTAGAAAAGTTATTAAAGTCTTAAAATCGGATGATGGTGGTGAGTATAGTAATGATGAATTTGCATCATTCGATAAGAAAAAAGAATTTTGCATTAAATTATACCTTCATATACATCACAACATAATGATATTATTGAAAGAAGGAATTAAACGATTCTTAATATCATCAAAAGTATATTGAAAAATAAAAGTCTATCATATTCTTTTTAAAGTGAAACCGTTATTATTGTAGTTTACATTTTAAATCGATATCTAACTAAGAAAATTAAGAAGAAAATTACATAAAAATTGGATCGAAAAAAAACTAAATATAAAATATTTAAAAATGTTTAACTCGATTACTTGGTTACATATTTCTAATATAAGAATTAAAAAACTCTTATTAGAAAAAAAAGTCTTAAAAAAAAAAGTGTTATCAGATAGAATAATCAACGTGTTATTAATTACTACTTATACATCAAACTATATATAGAAACAATATTTATATTTGAAAACTGAAAGTTTTACTAACGTACTTACAAAATCAATCAACAGTACGCAGTAATAAAATAGTATTAAAACCTATTTGCAACCATTTAAGACACTTAACCTACAATACCTCAGTAAATCTCTAACATTCACAACCCGACTATCTGAGTTACATCATCATGTTGCATAAGCAAGGGATGGTGCCTATGCCAGAGTGTGGACAGGGTAAAGATTGACGTGATTCTTTATGTAGTTCAAGAAGAACATGCTTCTTCTTCGTCCTCATAATCACAGAACAATGAGCTAACCAGTGCCTCACCAACTCGTTTAACTTCACTTGCATATGCCTCTATTATCTCCCTGCATTAGTAGATGAATTTCATCAACTGATCAAAAGTTGTTGTGTACATAGTTTTCAATTGAGATGAGAGGAATACCTACTTAAACCCCTCCGGAGATTTTGGCCAAAATTGAAGCTTCCTGTGCTGGGTGGGGTTAATTAATGAGTTGAAACACTGCATCTGACCAGTCTAGTGTCTGCTCCTCAGAAACTATATAACCCTTCCCATAACCATGTATCTCATTTGAGGGCATTGCATATTTGTTCTTCTCTTCTATTGGAGATTGAAAAACTCAGATGCTTCATCCTTCATTTTCTGCAGAAGTTCTTTTTGCACACCATGATTTACTATCTGAAAAAGTAATTGCAATCTCAAGCAGCATATGATGAAGAACAACTTTTGCTATGATGTCAAAGTCATGCACTATTTACCTTAAAAGCTTAAATTCTTTTAATAAAGACTGATGAGAAGTTCTATATTATATTCTTAACATTGTAGGTGGATTATTTTCTTTTATTATTTCCTATTTGAATTTTTATCTATAATGATATTATTATCACATTCGGTTTTGGACTGAGGATAAAACAAATAATTAGAGAGTATAGATGAAATCTTAAAATTTTCAAGAAATTGTTTAGTTATTTTTTAACTATAAAGACTAATGTGATAATGAGGTGAAAAAATTAGTGTTGATGGTCAACTACATAAAATACTATTAAAACAAGACTTTTTTCTTTTATTATTATAAAAAGTATAACAACTATTGTATTATAAATTCAGAAGTTTCATAATCATTTAGCAGGGTCACGTATAAAGCAAATTTAAATGAAGTGCTGGGTAGAAAAAAAAGTAAAACTTGGTGAAGAATAACCTGAAAGAAACCCCACTCTTTGCATACTACGTCCAATTTCAGCAACTCCTCCTTGTTTCCATTTAAGAGCAGGGTAATATCAATTATAGGGATCTATCAGATCAATGGTGAGGCACATGGTTGGCTGTCTCCAATTCTTCTTGACTTAACAGTCCTTACCATTTCTTGAACATTACCAAACACACGCAATAGAAATAGGAAAACATGTTTCAGCACTAATTTTCTACGTCCCTGAAAACATCTGAATAAATTTATTATTTCAGAACACTAGTTTTCCAAATAAGCTTAAGAAGATTTCTTGTTGCAGTGGTAATCTCTTCTTTAGATTGAATGGTTCTTCTTATATCAAGAACATATGTCTACAAAGCTTTTATCATAATATAAAAGACAATTCCTTAAAATAAAGATAAGGCTTAGGAGTGTATTCCAATAAGCTTTTTGGGATGAATGTTTGTTACTGATTTACAGCTAGACAGGATTTTGAGGCTGCTTGTGATGTGTTCGAGGGAACTTCAAAGTCGTCTGAAAATTGTTAACCTGGTATTCCTTTATTATTGGGTGTTTGGAAGAAGAATTATGATGATCCTAAGACTACTTGTTCAAAATATCTACTTCACATACAACTGAATTTTATTACCTTTTATTTTTTTTGTAAATTGAAAAATCTGACTACGATTGGGTAGATATTGACTAAAATCATGAATAAGTGATAGTCTTAGACCATAAAAATAATAAAAATAAATTCATGTTTGGTGAGGCAGGAACTGGCAGCATTAAAAGTCAATTCATGATTAAATTGGTTTGGATTTTATTCATAAAGGAAAGTACTATCCTTTTGCAGGAAAACCTGAGATGAGAATTTAAGCATTCTGGAATGTCAGTGAATGAATCTAAATAACAGTGAAAAGGACTTTCATTAAGTGGAATAGAGACTCAACTCTAATTTATGTATGTAGATGATATTTATTTATTATTATACAAACACAACTGATACTTGATAAATCAGCTTGGGGGATTACTTGAAAGTTTTATTTTCTGTTCTCAAATTCTCTTACTGAGCCATTTCTCTTCTTATTCGTCTTTATTCCTCAGATCAGAATCCTTTACCCTTGCCACATCAATGTGTGTTTTTCCCTCCATTTTCCTCTTCATAGATTGTCTCAGATAATCTCCATACCTTACTTTCTGGTACGACTTTGGGTTTTGATCATCTATCATATGATCAAGTGGCTCAACTTCCACATCACCCTTTGGGCACAAAAATAATGCATAAGACATCCTTTTCTTGTTCTTGTTTGTCACTGCTCTGTGCTCTACACTCTTGTATTTGCCATTGCTCCAGATCTGCAATGATTGCAGGAAGAAACTCACAAAAAGAGTAGATACTTAAGAATTAATCTTTTGGTGCTACTTTCTAACTTGAAAGCATTCTTGAGAATATGTTTCTAGTCAGTGGAAACATTTTCTTCAAAATTGTATTTGCAGTTTACGCCTAGGCATATTTCCATAAATGAAAAATCAAAGGAAACAATTTCCCTCAAGAATTAAAGCGATCCTATTTGCAGGAAGGCAGGAACTAATTACATGACAAAGAGATAATGTAAGTACCTCAATAGTGTCTCCAACATTGACAACTAGAGCATCTGACATTGGAGTCACTGGCACCCATCCTCCTTGGTGTCGAATTTCTAAGCCAGTTATATCATCATCTTGCATAAGCAAGGTGATGGTGCTTGTGTCAGAGTGTGGACTCAAACCCAGCACTTTCTCAGGTGTGTTACAAGGAGGGTAATAGTTCATACGTAAACCTTCTAATGATCCTTTATGTAGTCCAAGAAAAACATGCTTCTGCATCCCTATGATCGCTGACAATAAACTAAGCATTTCCTCACCAACTCGTCTAACTTCACTTGTATATGCCTCTATTACCTCCCTGCATTAGTAGATTAATTTCTTCAACTGATCAAAAGTTGTGTACATAGTTTTCAATTGAGAGGAATACCTACTTGAACCCCTCTGGAGTTTTTGGCCAAAATTGAAGCTTCCTGTACTGGGTGGGGTATGTGACTAACATCAGTCCATCTGACCAGTCTAGTGTCTGCTCTTCAGACACTACATAAGCCTGCCCATAACCCTGTATGTCGTTTAATTCCATTGCATACTTTTTCTTCTCTTCTATTGGAAGTTCAAAAAACTTAGCTGCTGCATCCTTCATTTTTTGCAGAAGCTCTTTCTTAACACCATGATTTACTATCTGCAAGCAAAAGTAACTGCAATCTCAAGCAGCGTTTGTGAAAACCAAACAAACTTCTCATTTTGCAAGGATGTCAATGTCCCTGAGCTTACTATTCCAAAGGTTGAAGCTATTACGTAAAGACAGATCTAGATTCCTTAGGAAGTTTGAATATTCACACAGTCAATGGAATGGTGATCAAATAATTCATATTTTATCTCTGTAATCCGACTTAAAATACACATTTAAAGTGAAAACTGTCCGATCTTTGGCCAATGGTCTGAATTCATAACTGTGTCTAATGCAGACAAATCATTTTAAGGTGAAGATACATTATGACTTTATATTGGATTTGGATTTGACCCTCTAAGGAGATGTACTCTATAAAAAACACCCCAGTTGTTGGTAAGGAAATCAACAGTTGAGAATTGGGAAAAAGTTTAATTAAAATAACAAAATTTAAAGTTAATTATAATCCCAAAAGTTGAAACTTATTTAAGCCTTAAAAGAATTATTAAAGAAGGATCCATTCTATCACATCTTCCTGAAAGTCTCTAGTATTAACTCATGGAATTATACTAAAAGTTGTTTAAAGGAAGATGCATGATGGTTTTAAGTGGTGTCTCTGACAGTCACAGTGACTGTTGTATTACTCTGAACTAGTTGCACCTATTATTGTTAAAGTATTTTATGTAATAGAAATGCTCCTCTTCTTTGTGTAGGTTCCTATTTGTGTATTTTTGTATGTACTTGACAACAGTGTTGCTCAAGAATTACCTGAAAGAAACCCCACTCTTTGCATGCTACATCCAATTTCAACAACTCCTCCTTGTTCCCACATGAGAGCAGTGCAAAATCAATGACAGGAACCTCAGATGAAAGGTGAGGTATGTGATTGATTTTTTCCAGTTCTTCTTGACTCCTTATGTATCTTTCCGGAACCGTCAGGGGATTATTCCTTACCATTTCTTGAACATTGGGGACTGGCATAGATGGGGCAAAAGTGGGTTCTTCCTCCACTTTAGTAACCAACTCTTCAACATCTACATTGAGACTCATCTTTGTTCTGCTAAGATTGTTACCTATGAGATTTTACTTCTGTTTGCAAGGGATAATTACAATTGGAAGCAAAGCCTTTTCACCTCGTTGGTGGAGATTTGTTTATCGACAACTTGTCTTTGTTTTGGATATATTGTTTTGGTAAGCCGGAATCTGTACCGTATACTTTTGTTTATCCAAGGGAATGATCTCATTGTCTCTTTACTGTCATTGTAATGGTAATGGTACTAAATTAAAAATCTTACATTCAGTGTAAGATTAATTTATAAATCTTATACCAAGTGCTATTCTGGGGAAAACAGTTTCTTCATTTTAATATGATTTGGTAATCAATTTATTTATCTTTCAAAAGTTGCACAAAACTGAGAATAAAGCTCAAGATTAATAGTACCCAAAGATATAGACCAAAATACAGATGCATTAAGTCATGGACCAAACATAGGGAGAGTTTACACTTGATGCAAAAAGGGTAAACTTGGAGAGAAAAATGCAGAAGATGGTGGTTGTTGTGATTGCAGGAGTTGTGGATAGAAAACAGTTTTTACGAAGGGGTTGTTAAAAGCTTTACAGGGTAAATCAATATGAATCATTGTTGTCACGATTTAGATGACAGTGAAAATCATATACAGAGAGAAAGGGCATACCATATTTACTCTTCTAAACGTAGCAGATGTTTTCTGCCAGTTTCATCCTCATGCTAATAATTAAAGCGTTGCGTAATCTAAACCTTATATGTAATTTAAAAGGGTTATGCTAATTGGATATCTAATAAAAATCATTTTCATTTATGCCTATTCAATTATTGAACCATGAATGAATATCATAATGAATTTAAAATCGGTGCAATTTTAAAAGCATTGGCTACCAACTGTTCCCAATAACATATTAAACTAAGTATATGTTAAAGCGTCGTTATCACTAAAGCAAAAATGTGAAATGTTATTCTATATTCTCTTCTTTTCAATCCATCCAACTTTAGAGAATCTTCTCATGATGAAGAACAATTCTTGTTTTCCAACATGGAACAACCTAGGACATATCTAATGCCAAATATACCCTAAAAGAAGACGGTAGTATACGATGAAGATCTTCTTTTCCTTCTTTCCTAATTTTAAATCATCTAAAAATCTTTGTATATCAATGAGGGAATCCTCATTTTCCACATATCTCTTATTGGAGAAGAAAGTAAAGTGATAATTACAAGATGAAAGCCCTGCATAGATTGAGTCTAATGGAATAACCAAATGCAAGATAATGATACCACATGACTCATACCAAAAGTTTTGCATCCAATAAAGAGGACAAAATGTTCAATGAATTTTCTCTCTCTCTTTCATGCAACGTATCTTAAAAGATAAAATCGTGAGGACTAATTTTTGCACTCGTATCGAAGAAATATGCAATTTTTGGTGCAACACTGTGTATGACCCAACATTGTAGGATTCTTGGTGCGCCAAACCTGCTAGAATTCTAATAAGCAAAAGCTTCTATGGATTGAATTATCATCTTTCTTGACGACATTTTCATGAAAGAAATGCTGTATTTCTTTGGTAGTAACAGTAAGATAAAAGATGGAAAGAGTTTAATCTTAGATTCGTTATTCATTTCTATTTTTGGCATATTTTTGTCCATAATTTTTATTGCAGATGCTGCTGCCCAAATTTACTTTCCCCTTTTTTTGGTTGCAAGTAATTGGCCACATGATTTTCTCCCTTTTAACATAAGTAAAATGTGTAGTTTACAACTAATTATTCTCAATTTAACTTGATTAATTAAACTTCATACATGGCAAAGCATCACCAACAGTAAGAGCAAAAATGTGAAATGCTGTTTACTATGGATCTTCCTTTCTTTTCAACTATCTTGATTACAAAGAACAATGTTAAGACTCTACAAAACACATAACTAAGCCAATAGAAGATTTAAAACAGAACTAAAATATCCAGAAAACAGTTCTTCACTGATAACTGATGATCTTTGCAATTCTACAACAGCAGCTTCATCTTCATTTTTGTCTTCTGGAATCCCTTTAAACGGGAGGAGGGCAGAAGGTGATAACATACCTTGGAGCCCTGCATCTGTTAAGGCTGCTAGAGTCATCATATGCATAACTATAAGCCTTAGGACATATAGCCTTAAATAGATGTGCAAAAAGAGTAGGCTTGCAAGTTTTTGGGTCAGAATAATTCCCTGTGCAGCAATACTTTGCTGATTGCATAGCCAAGCAAGCACTTTTACACCCTACAACCTTGCCATTTCTCTTCACCTCAAGTGCTGATGGACAGCAAATATTCAAATCCACCTCACAAGAAGCCACTCCACACCCAACTCCACCCCCAATGGGCTTCATGGAAACTGGCAAGTTGAAGCCATCCACCAAACTCACATCATAGAAGTGCAAAGGGGAGGAGGAGGATCCAAGGGTCATTTCCACCACTGTTGCAGGTGGCACCCCTCCTTGCCCTCTACAATGTAGCTTCCCATTGCAATCACCAGTGAGACAGTGGCCATGTCCATCATTGTCAAAGCTACAACCTTGCCTACCCCAAATTCTTCCAGACCATTTTTCTGGTACATCAAGTACAACTTCTTCACCACTTCCAAGGTGCATCCCACCATCTTTTAGAGTTTGCTGCCCTGCACTGCCAAGTATCCCTGGCCACACACTTTCCCCACAGTTGTTCACTAGAATGAGTTGAGCACCATCTGCAACAAATAACAAAAGATAAATGACGCTAAGAAAGATATATAACATTTGATGGACTAGAGATTCTTACACAATCATGTAAGAGCATTTTCTTACGCATCATCACCAACCACGATCATAATAATTGCTATACAAGTGTGAACCATCAATTTCCTTCTTTAAGGTAATATATCTTTTTCAGAAGTGGTTCCAAAAGTAAAACAAAAACTCTTAAATATTACTAGCAGTAGTAGAAAACATACTTAGTAAACTCCCACATATTAGAAAACCCCTAAATTAGTCCATGAACTTCACTGAAGTACATCGAAATACAAATAGAGCTATATATCGATATTCTCTACTTTCGAGATTTACTTAAATTGTATTATTGTTTTAAGGACTAGTTAGAACAGCAGATAAATTTCTGGAACGAATTTGGTATAGTTTATTCAATCATTATATTATCATGTGTTTTCCTCTCAAATATTCAATACACCAATCATGGCGGCAAGTATACATCATATGTGACAGATATTGAACTATGTGGTATAAGAGGATAGAATGTTGTAGTATAGTGTATATACTAAGTGTATCAATAAGTTTCAGTAGCAAAATGAAAAAGGACAGAGAGGAAGAAGAGAAAATAGTGTTATTACCTGTGAGTATGATGTAGCAAAATGCAAACAGATAGAAGAGAATGAAGGAAATTCTTGCCATTGTTTCAACTCAATGAATAGCAACACAACTCAAGAGTTGATGCAACCTATATAGGCATGAGTGACAGTGCATGTGAGGCTTCCAAGTTCCAAATATTTCGCTCTCAAGTATAGATCGTGCCAAGTGGTATCTTTTTATACAAAAATAAAACGGTTTTGCAACTTCCCACTGTCACCCTCCTTAAGCTTTTGCCTTTATTTTCTCTAATTACTTTCCACTTTCTCTCTCATAACAAAGGAGCATATATGCATTGCTTCCAGCTGGAGATTTCTTTTCTACGTAACTTCTATATTAAAATGGTTAAAATATTGTTATTTAAATATTGTAGAGTGTTTTTTGGGGGATCAGGTTGCTACTAATTTGGCAACTTGAAGCATCTTTCGTGTGAGAAAACGAAGCAAGAAAAAGATAAAATAAAAAAACCTACACCATGTGTGATGAAGTTATGAACTTTAGTTTGCATTAGAGAATTTTTACATCTTAAACTTCAATGACATGGCATTCTTTTCCGTGAGGAGAATTGTAGAAGTACAGGAATGTCTGTAGGATTTTTGCTTTATAACATCAGCATTATCTGCTCCTATATTAAACTGGAAAAAGGGGTATGGCACAAAATCATATTTTTTTTCAAAGTTGTTGCAAGCAATTATACCTTCTACTTTGTTCAGTCTTGTTGCTTAAGATTTATTTTATTCTTAGGACATATATTTATTATAATTTAACAAAATTTGGATTGGATCCTGTCACCAATCAAGCTTAGTAGGCAGTGGCTTTTAGGAATTGATGATAACTTGAGATTTCAGATTGCCAAGTGTGTGTGGATCAATTTTTATAACATTAATGTTGTAAAATTGATTTTTGGTAAAAATAGTTATAATGATATGATTTATCTGTAAATGTTTTAGTCCAAAAATATAAAACTCAATATAATTTTTTATTCCATTTAAAAATTACATAAAATTACTTCAATTCAAAGCAGTTTTGGGTTCAAAGTTATTAAAGATTAAATGGACATTAAAATATATTTTGTAAAATTAACTTAGCATTAATCTGTCAAATTCACAAACAAATTTATCATTACAATATACATAAAAAAAATGATTACACTTTTTATAAAGTCAGATACAAAATTATATTTTTCTTTATTTTATAAACTAACTTATTATCGATTTGTTCATTAAAAAATGAGAATGGTCATATTTAGATTAAAATCTCCATTTTAAAAAGTATTTGTGATGTTTGGAGAACTTGATAAAGAAATAGTAAAAATGTTTGGCCAATAATTTTACTTTACGCCAGGAAGAAAATTGTATTTTACGTAAATCTAAATGATCTCTTTCTCTGATTTTCCTTGATTTAGTGGTCTACAATCTCTTAACACTCTTCAATAAAAAAATATTTTTGAAAAAAATAAATAAAATTTTAGCCTTTAAGTAAGGACATGTAATTTTTCTTATATTTCTTAAAATTATATTTTTTTTAACTCTATTTTTTAAAATTAGAGTTGTCGATATATAAGTTTCGAAGAAAAAAACAAATCAAACTGATGCCTATTTTTTAGATGAGTGAATGGCTCAGTTAAAACTTTTGGTTCTTTAATCTATCATTTAATGCAATATTTTGATGTGTCAAATAAATTTTTAATTATATTTAATTCATTACCTTCTAAATAATTATATTTAAGTTATTAATTAAAAAATCAATCATAAATCCAAAAAATTAAATTAGGCATGTCAATAGCAATTCAAAAAGTTGATTAAACAAGAGTTCTCTTTTATTTTTCTATAATCATTGTGGGACTTGTATTGTATTGAGCATGAACATTGAGACATTGTTTTTACATTTTTCTTGTGTTCTACCATATTGCATACTAGAGAAAGAAACATGGATTGTACAAACAAATTCATTTTGTTTTATACAAATTTGGCTTGTGTTACTTGCTAAGTCTACTTTTTGTGTCATACGACATAAAAGGAGACAATAGAGTATATTCCATGAATAACGTGTAATTCCAATTATGGGTGAGTTGCATTCTTAACAAATAATGTTTGTAGCATCAACTTGATAAACTCAAGTCATTAAAAGAAATTATACCCAACATCTTTCCTTTTTCCACTCTCATTTACCTGCATGGAAACATGATAATGTAGGATTAATATTTTCCCAATTTTTTTAAGTGAGTCGATGATATTTTTACTTTTTGTCATTATTATTAAGTTATCTATTATAATTTTGGTCAACCATATTTATTAACTTCCTAACTCTAGATTGAGTTGTTTAATACATTTATTGGATGACTCGTTATTAATGAAGTGTTAGGTTGATATAAATGTAAAATACACGTTAATATCATATATCATTACTTTCCATAAATATAAATGCCATAATAATATATTATAATATTTTATTATAATTTAATTATTAAAAAATAATACAAATAAATTCTATAAATAATATATTTTAAAAAATATATTAAAATAAAATTTATATGAATTTATTTGTCAAATGATTTATTTATTGTTCATATGTGATTTTTTTTATTTCTTTTTTCTTTTGCTCCTTTTTTTCTCATTTTTATCTAATCTATCTTGTTTTTCTACTTATTCCACTATATCAAAATTTACTAATATATTAAAATAAATATTTTAAAATCAACCTTTAAACTAAAACAATATTAACTAATTATGTAAAATTATGATGAAAATAAATAATTTTATTTATATTTATAAAAAATAATTTTATTTATGATGATGTAAAAAATTAATTTAAAAAATATCAAATATTTATAAGTTAAGTGTATTTTAAAATAAATATATTTTTTAATAATTATAAAATAATAACAATATTTGTAAATCTCAAATTTATTATATAGTACTTTTTGAAAAATAATATATTAAATTATAGTATTTCTGGATCATTAAAATATTTTTAATTTTCAGTAATAAAAAAAGACTAGCTTTACTAAATTTCAATGGAGTTAGAGAAGGATTAAAAAAATAAAAATAAAAATAAAGAAGTAGACGAAGGAAGAAAAAAAAGTACGAGAATTAATTTCACATTAATTTATTTTTTCTTATTAAATTTTGTTTATCAATCATAAATTTGGTTGAATAAATAAATTAAAAAAGATTCTATTTAAATAATTTTTATTTTTAATATGAGATTGATTCAAATAATACTATCTATTTTTTAATAAAATGAAACTAAATTGACATTCAAATAATAATAAGATGAAATTAAAAAAAATAATAAAATAGATTAAAGGTAAGAAAGAGTAATAAGATTATTTTAATTTTAAAAAAATATAAATAAATAAGAAAAAGGGTAAAAATTATAATCCATTTTATTATTTAAAAAATGAAAAATCTATATAATATGATTAATTATAAAAATGTCATTTGATTAAAAATTAAAGATTATTAAATAAGAATTGATATGAATAAATATTTAATTATGTTTATAAATTTGAAAAATTATATTAAAATATTTAAAATAATAAATTCAATGTTAAAAATTTGAGTCACATAGTAAAGTACATGGCTATTATGGCCTACGGATTTTTAAAATAAAAATCCTTTTCCTTCTTAAAGAATATACTCAAAAGTTTTAATTTATGTTTTAAGTAACTAACAAAGAAAATAACATTCTCCTCCAAATGTAATATAATTAATTTTAATTTATTTTTCCCCTTAACTAAAGGTTCTGAAATAAAAAACAATTAAATTTGATTCGTGTACAATGCAGTAATAAATAGGAAAGAAAAATAACATATATTTCAACTAAAATAATTATATTCAACCAAGAAAAATCATGTGTTCGTAAGAGAAGAATGGAGAGAAAGTTAAGAACAAATTCATGTCTTTCTCACAAACTAAACCTTGAGTGCCTTCCATCATCCACAACCAAAGTACATTCCCGTAAACAAACATGAGTTTCTACATGACAAACAAAACATTTTGTAAGGCGAGGATAACAATAATTGGTTTATCCTACTGTGAGAGGAGAAAGTAACAATATCATTATTATTTTTAGGAACAACTTCATTCCCAACATGTAGCAAAAAAAAAAAAAGATTACATATCAGAAGAAAAAACAAATAAATATATATCAAATGCGAATCCAACCAGCATATAGGGCAAAGACCCTGAACCTCTCTCTCAACTCATTTCATTTTGTTCTCCCACTCAGTCACTCGTGACATCATTCTAAACCCACTCCTCTTTCTCCAAATTTTCGCCGCCAGACTCAAGCATGCTTCGCATAGCATCAAAGTTATCATCAGGAATTTCTTCTTCTTCCACTGCACTCACCGCAAACCAATTTCCCACGAGGCTCTCTCCCCTTCCCACTTCATTGTTCCGATCATTCACCAATGGCTTGGAATTGGAGGCCAACATGGTCGTCCCCGACGCCATTAGTATGATCAACTACGCCATGAAGCAATGGAGGAATGAAAGATCACGTAAGTTTCATGTGCCCCCCTTTCTCCATTTTTTTCAGAAACGGTGACCCATTTGTGTGTTTCGGTCAAAGTTAACGTCTTTCTAGTTTTTCTTTAGTTGGGGCGTTTCGTATGGGTTTGGCCGTGTTGAAGCACTGCATTAACATGGAGTTAACCGAGGGCAAGGATCCAACGCGCGAGAATTCGAAGGGAATGGCTATGCTTGCTATGTCCACGATGTTGTATGAAAGGTACATCCTTTATGATTGTTATATTGGAGCTCAATTTTGTGGGTGGTTGTTTGAACTCATTGGAGATATATTTTATGTTAACTTTTCTTAGAGGAGAGTACACTGAAGCAGTAGAGAAGCTCGAGGATGTTCAAGAATTAACCAATTCTTATTTGGGAGTTAGAGGTAACTTCTTTCTTCTTCTTTTTTTCTTTTTTTGTGCCATCCCTTTTGTTGGTTACTGCTATTGTTCATTATTGTTTATTATTATTATTATTATTATTCTTAGAGAAATGCTAGGACCACAATCTTTCTACCACACTTTTTAATTTTGACTGAAATATGTGAGAATCACAAGATTGTGTGGGTTGCACTCCTGATTTAATCCACCACACTTATGATTTTTTAGTTTTCAACAAATTTTGACCAATAGTGAGGATTGTGTTAGAAAGTGTGTATCAGAGAGTATGCTAACACTTATTATATTTAATATCAGTTTTTGCCCATGATTTTGAGTTATATGTTGGACTTTTGTTGCAGTTGCTGCTCTTGAAACTCAGGCTGGGCTTTATTTAGAGTTGAGGCAGGTAGGTATTGGCAAAAATTGTAAAATATTTGGCTGCTTTTTGCAGCACTATTCATGTTTATTCACTCTTTTTTTTTTTTTTATTTAGGATGATTTGGCAGCAGCGGTGGCTGATAAGTGCATGAAGGTTGTGGAGAATCAACAGCAAGCAAGAGATTTTGAGGCTCAATTCGTACGTGCTAAAGCACTGAAAGGGCTGATTGAACTTGTCAATGGCAATGTTGACTCAGGTTGTGCTAAAGTTCTATTTGTTCATTGTTGTTACTTGTGATGATACTTATTATGTGCCTGATGCAGCTGAAGATTTCTTCGACAAATCACTAGGCGACAAGTATTGTGATGGTATCTCCTCCTGTTCACAAAGTAATTTAGCCAATATTTTTCGACTCCGGTTGATGTTTGGATTTGTAGGTACTGCTGGTCTATCATATGCGGAATTCCTACATAAAATACAGAACTACTCAAAGGCAAAAGAAGTTTACCGAAATGTTGCACTTGGTGCTACTTATGTTAAAAGGTCTGGCAAACCATATTTAGGAGCTGGCAACATGAGTGTGGACGAATTAATTGTAGGATCCATGTGTGCTTCAGGACAGCTTGAAGCACTTATGGGGTAGGCTTAACAATCATTTCTGTTGGGTTTTCCTTAGCCATGATGCAACCTTCCTTTATATGTTAGTCTAGGTGTTATATACCTCTAATAACTGTTTGTTTCAGTAATTTCTATTATGCAGAGAATAGTTTGTCACAGGCAGTAAGTAGGGCAGAGGAAGCCTATGGAGGTGACTTTTCTATTCCTTTTGTCTTACGTAAACTCAATTTACATCATTTATCACTGAGTTTGATAATGGTCTATTGACTAATGTATTGTGGTTGTCTATTTGTTGAAGACTCTAAGCATCCCACCCTGGGGGTTGCCTTAGCAAGCATAGCTCTTATGTATAGACGTCGAGCAATGCAGGAATTTTCGAGTGCACTGTTGATTCAAGAGGTTATAACTCCCAATTTCTGAATTTTCTACTATGGAATTTAATCAATTTTAACTTATAGCAATGACAAATTTCTTTTATTGCCAAAAATAAAAAAGAACAATGATTGATAAGTAATAGGATGCTATGAACTGAAATCTATTTCTGCTGCAATACACAATTAATATTATCTTGATTATGCAGAGATGCGAACTGTGTATTTAACAAATTGATTGACCTAGTTTAGTCTTGAGTGACATGCCAGTGACACCGTTATCTGTTAAAGAATTTGTAAGTTTTGCATGAATGAACGTTGAGGATACAAATTTAGGTGCATATTTAACTTGCCTGACTAATGTAGTCTGCTACTTATAACACATTCCCTGCTTAAATTGTTAGTATTGCTTCAATCTTTTTTTATGCCTAATTAATCACCAATAATTTTTATTGTAATTCAAACATAAGTATAATAAGTGAATCATTGCAGGGCCTCTACCGAAAAGTGATAGATATTTTGAAGGTTCCATCAGTGGAAACTGAGAATGAAGGTAATGTTGATGTGCCATTTGATTCCAGACGTCCATGTAGTCTCAATAAAATATCTAGCTACACGTAATGAATGCATATTCAAACCAAACTTTCTTCGTGTAGGTTCTGCCCCATTAGTAGATAGAAGTGATATAGCTGCTCTTGCAAGAGGTATGGAAGATTATTTAATTCATTATAGTTCTATAATCTAGGATGTGAAAATGTGATCAAAATATGTTGGAGTATTTCAAAAGATTGTTATTTTAAAATGACTTAGTCTTACATTTTGCCTTGGAGAAAAAGTCCTTGAAGAGTGTATAAGTTAACATTTTTATTGAGCCTGGAAAAGGTGTAGTGGTTTTTTACTTTTGCTGAAGTTAGTATAATATTACCATTCAAAATTATCTTATATAGAAATGTTACCAATTAATTTTCGCAGAACTTTTGAACTATCATATGCACAAATGTTAATATTGGTAGAATGTTTAAATTATCTTATCTCCCTGTGGCTGTTGTGTCTGGAATGCTGTCTCCGTGATGTCTTCCATTTTCTTCTAAATTTGATGATAAGCCAGATTTAAGTTCATCACTGAAAAAAATGAATTGCCCACTTAACACATCCAATAACTCTTCAACCACTGAAATTTGGAATTTATCCTGAATGGTGATACTAGTTAGGGCCCAACAATCAATACAAGTTCCAACTCCCATTTTACAATCAAAGTCAATGGGCTCTAAGTAGGACTGTTCCTTGCCTGAATCTTCGCTGCTGCTAACATCCACATGAATCAGTCAATCTCCACCTTTTTTTGTAATGATGTCAATATGGGCAGATGTTTGGAATTTAGAGCCTTCCTTCACATTAAAGAGTTGTTTTGCTGCCTTGAGGAATAGCATTGTTATGCTGCTTTTTATTCATTCCTATAAGACCTTAGAATTAGCAAATTACAGTGATGATCTTGGCAAACGTGTCTATAACCAACGTATTCAATGACGAAAAAGCAGAGCTCAGCTGCAACATGTCCTGCAACCACTTGTTGAGTAGGCAGTGAAATCCTCTCGTGCCAACCATTACCACTTGACCCCATCCCACCTGTTCCGACTTTATCTTTGTTCTAGAATCTAGAGTCAAAACAGATGGTGTTGACATCAGAATAGATGTTGGCTATATTTTTGGCAGCCCCTAAACTCTAAATGCAGTGTTTACATCCATAACTGGGCTTGGTCTTATTGGTTGTGTTGCTGAGCTTGCTTCCCTCAAATCGTTCATGGTGGTGGGCACAACTCAACCTGATGCTGTTACACGAGATAAGAAGAGCACAGAAAAGGAATAGGGATTGCACTGTTTTATTGTATTTAGTATGGGAATCCACTTTGAACCCAAAGTGGTTGAAAGGAATTAGTACAATTGCAAAAGACGAATTTAATAGAGAATGATATAAAATACGAGAGGAGAATGCCAATCATTCATTCCATACCCCCTACCTCTCTCTCTCTCTCTCTCTCTCTCTCTCTCTCTCTATATATATATATATATATATATATATATATATATATATATATATATGAAGGGTTTAGGGCTAAACCCTCACACAAAATCCCTCAGCATGCTATTGTGGTTCCTTGTCCTATTCCCACATCTCACTCCCTGATTTTCAGGTTTGATAATAACTAACTCATCATGTTCCACGTTTTGCCACTCTCCTTGCATACGTGTTGCATTATTATTTTCCATGCTAGACTGTCCAGTTGACACCTTCATTACATTACTTCCCCTTTAAGAACAACCTTGTCCTCAAGGTTGATATGAGGAAAGTGAGTTTTAATAAACTATATCCTCCCAAGAAGTGTCATCATTGTTGCAATGATCCCATTGTACCAACACCTGAAAATGCGATACAAAATCTTGTAAAATTGTCCTAGCTTGTAGGATGGCCATCGATTGCAAAATGGGACCCGGTTCAGAAGTTGCTAGGGAAGTGGCATGAAAGGCTCGATCAACTGTAAAGTTTGCAAAACCAATTCCAAATGAGTCAAATGCACTATCCATGAGGGACTATAATTAAAGAACACAAGCATGTATCTGTGCAAAACATGGTGAAAAATTTGATTCATCAGGCTTTGAAAAGTGGTTAGGGCATTGGTGAGCCTAAATGGCATGACCAGCCATTCAGAATGACCATGATGTGTTCGAAAAGTCGTTTTATGGCATTTAAGACTCTCTAATCAGTGCAAAATCTTCATGAACCATCCTTTTTTCTTTAAGAGCAGAATAGAAGATGAGAAGGGACTCATGTTGGGTTGTAGAAGGCCTTGGTCAAGCAATTTGAGAACCAATTTTTCAATTTGGTCTTTCTGAGTATGGGGATATTGGTAAGGGCGAACTTTGACTGGTTTAGAGCTTGTTTGTAAGGGAACAGCATTACCATGAGCTTTAGAGGGTGGTAGTCCTAAATGTGTTTGAAAAATAGTCTAATAGTTATGTAATGAAGCAACCAAGTCAAGTGACAAGTCAACATGGAATTTCAGTGAAAGATCACTCAGGATCTCATGCTACACCATCTGAATTGAGAAGCATTCAACAATGGCTTGTGTCTGCAGCATGTTGCGCATATGATGCAACTGTGCTTGTTGAGGTTGGACCATATATTCTACCTGCTAAACAACAAATTTACCATGCTAGAAAATTTAAGAGTGGATGTGGTATAGTCCGCAATGTGAGGACCAAGAGTGGCTAGCTAAGAAGATCCAAGAACTAGTTCAGTGCCTAAAACCGAAAGTAAATACACCAGAACAAGAATAATCAATTGATGACCCTGAATTGTCACAACTAGCTATTGGATCACCCCCTCTGTAGTTGTGGATTAGCCATTGCCAACAAAATCTTGAAAACCTTCAATTGGCAATTTTAAAAAAATGAGCAATGCGAGGCTAGATAAAGTTGTCTGAACCATATTGCAACAGGCCCATATAACCTGTGAACCCAATGGTGCCCACACCACCTCCCTTCATTGCATTGAGTGAAAGATGATGTTCCTAATTACACACGTGAGTATCAGGTTGTGCTAAATTAGTGGGGTCTGGTTCATGTGAATCCACCAAGTCATCATCAATTAATTGCAGCATCATCAGTTGACAATTTGGACACTTGTGAGTTAATGGAAATTTCTCATCACAAAAGTAACATAGGCCTTTTCTCTTCTAATTTGCATCTTAGTTGGGGAAATTCTTTTCAATTGGGAAAAAGGTCGAGTGGTGGGGGTTGGAAAGTAAGGGTGGTAAGGTGGATTTGGGTAGGCTAGGAGGTTTATCTGTTTTGGTATTATAGACGTTGCAGTTGGGAAAAATGGTGGTTGTTTTGGTATGGTATAAAAGGGTTTTTGAGTGCACTGGAGGGTTTATATTTCTCTTAAAATAATTTGGCTAATGCTACTACTACCTTGACCAGGCTAGGCAAAGATAGTACCATAACATCCCTGTGAATGTCATCCTAAAGGCCACTCAAAAAACAGTCCAATAAAGTCTCATTGCTTATGTCCGACACACGAGTAGCCAATGCTTTGTAGTAATCCGCAATGGAACCAGTTTGGTTAAGCTTGAATAAAGAAGCCCGAGGACACTCACATGCTGTTGGCCCAAAATCAAGTGTAAGTGCTAACGTAAAATCATGCCAAGAACGGAAAGAGGAGGAAAGTTGCAACATTTAAAACCAAGGTACTACGTCATTATCTAAGTGTACCGAAGCAATAGACAATTGATCAACCTCAGATGTTGCATAATAATTGAAAAATTGTTTGACCTTAAAGATCCACTCCATGACATTGTTATCATATAAATGAGGAAAATCAAGTTTCATGTTCCGGTCTTGGAAAGACGGCTTAAACAAGTTCAAAGCACCATGGAAGGACCCTTGAGAGATAGGATTGCGTTGCAGCAGAGTCTCCAAAGGAGCAATAATCTGATTGAACCTTTTTGTCGATCGCATGAATCACAGTCTCCAGGCGTTCAAAACGAGAATAATTTCTTATTCCAGCTTTTCAATTTGAGCTTGTAGGTCTGCCTAATACTTCTCCAATGTTTCAGAGTTCAATAGAGAGAATCAGAAAAAATATCAGATAGGAGCATACCAATCATTCATTCCATACCCCCTAACCCTCTCTCTCTCTCTCTCTATATATATATATATATAGGGTCCCTCACAAAATACCTCAGCATGTTATTACGGTTCCGTGTCCTATTCCCATGTCTCACTCCCTGATTTTCTGGTTTGTTAACAACTAACTCATCATTTTACGCGTTTTGCCACTCTCCTTGTATACGTGTTGCATTTAGACTATACAGCTGCCTACCCACAAACTTAACCATTAATGCTGTGTTTGGAAAGCCGTTTAGCTCCCGTTCAACTGATTTTTTACACTGAATTTGTGTTACATTGAACATTACGGGTCGGCAAACACACTAAGTTGTTGTACTTTTCATCCACTCTCGTGCCATTACTTGAGGTTGGCTGTTCGGTATAACTGTACCTTGACCTTATCTTTTCTTGGAAACCATCATGAAAGCTGCTGTCCATACCTCAACACTGGTGCCCAAAGCAGCTCAACTTTCACAATACACATCCACACTCCCCTTGCCTAAGACCCGGGAAAATTTCATATCGATTCTTAAATTAGTTCATATGAACTCACTGCAAAGGGCTGCTTTAAACATCCCCATTAGATGTTCTTTGTCCTGGCTTCCAACCATTGTAACTAGTTGATTGCTCTTTCATCGAAGTAAACTGCGCCTCCAGCAAACAATTAAAAGGATTCTCCCCAGTAAAAGCATGGACCTCCAGCCTCCCAAATCAGTCATCTCCTCTACCTCCTCTTTTTCAGTTCGGCACACTGTCTCTTTGTCTTCCTTATTACTTGTCTCCATCCTCTCTTGACCATTTAATGTCTCAATAACTCAGCTAAGACATCTTGGATCCTTTGAAACTGTTCATCACTCTGCTTGTATCCCCTTTTCCATTGCCTCGACCCTTCTATCTGTGTCGATATCATTCAGGATCCCAACATTGAAGAGTTGCCAAATTGATATGAATGGAATGGATTACAGTTTAGGGAAAACAACAAATCAAGACTTGCAAAGAAGAATGTCAGCCTCAGAAACAGCAAACACTAACCAAAGGAATGACTAGTCCCCACTGACAATATTCTGTCATATTTAGCTCACAGTATCTGCATGCTCATAGATTAATCCTGACTTGTCTCAATGTTGCTTAATGTTATAGGTGCATATGCAGAAGTACTTAGTGTCCAAGAAAATAGAAAGGATGAAGGGGAGAAGATGAAGAAATTGGCGGAGTCTATATGGAAAAACCGCAATATGTCTCTGGCTGATGCTCTCGACACAGACAAAAATATCATAGATTCTAGAATTAGCAGGCTTTTATAAATTGGTCCATTTTCAGTGTACCCACCCTTTTGCTGCTGCAGTTTCTAGTTTAATCGATTTTATTTATTTTTTAATCCATAATAAAGTTAACTCATGTAATATTTGTTGAGATGATCATATGTATATGGGAAAAGCTTTGTGCTTAATAAGCAATACATAGAATTATCAATCTATGATAGAGTTCAGTAAAGCAAGTTAGAAGTCTTGTTAATCTATAACAAATTAAATGGATAAAATAAGTATAAGTTTAAATTAATTTTAATTTAAAAATAAATCAATTTAATTTACTTAAATAGATATAAATGTAAAATTCAATCCATTTTTAACATTCAGATTGGAAATAGATTCGATTTGAAAAACCCAATCCATACCATACTTGAAAAATAAAGCTTAACACGACGGTGCCTATTATTTTTATCGCTCAATGCGGATAATATTTGGTAAAAAAATTAAATTTAATTATATCTAGTTTCTAACCTTAAAAATATTTCTGAATTTGATCCTTTGAATTTAAAAAATTAAATTATACACTTTAAAATGATTTATTTGTTTAGAAGACGAAGTAGATGTACCCTGGACTAAAATCGATTTTTTTTCATAAATAATACTGTTTTTTAAAATATTTTCCAAAATAGCACCTCTGTAACTTTATTTACACAACTAGCACTGTTTACTGTTCACGTAATAAAATAATATTATTTTGCACAACTGTTTACTGTTCACGTATTAAAATAATATTATTTCGCGCAATGAACTCTCGCTCAAGCGAAGAATCCTCGCTTGAGCGAGGAAATCTGTAACAAAGGGGTAATCTCGGGTCAATTATCGCTCAAGCGAAGAAACCCTTCGCTTGAGCGAGGAAATCCGTAAGAAAGGGTTATCTCCGGTCAATTCTCGCTCAAGCGACTGTTATTTCGCTTGAGCGAGAAGTGATTAAAATATGTGGTGACCCAAGTTGCGTTATGTGGCTAACTGCGTTGGACGTTTAGCCAAATAATGCAACTTGGGTTTAGATAGCGGTTCTAGAACTAACCGCTATTAAATATAAATTTTAGATAGCGGTTAACGTGGAACTACTATTATATGTTACTTCTAAGAGCGGTTAAAATATTAACCGCTCTTAAAAGTGAGACATATAGTTGGACCGTGGGCAACTATCGCTCAAGCGAGATACTCTTCGCTTGAGCGAATATTTTTATAATCGATTATAACGTGAAATAATTGATCATAATTTTAAAATAATCGACATATAATAGCGGTTCCACGTTAACCGCTATTTAAAATATACTTTTAATAGCGGTCAATTCTACAACCGCTATCTAAAATCTCGGGTAAATTCTAGCTCAAGCGACTGTAATTTCGCTTGAGCGAGAAGTGATTGAAATATGTGGTGACCCAGGTTGCATTATGTGGCTAACTGCATTGGACGTTTAGCTATGGTCAATTCTCGCTCGAGCGAGAAGTTCATCGCTTGAGCGAGAAGTTCATCGCTTGAGCGAGAAAACCTGCAGTGACCCAGGTTGCATTATATGATGTTTACGAAAGGGAGTTTGTTACTGTTTACGAAATTATCTTGTTTCGTATTGTTTTACCTGGAGTCGATTGTAATTGATTCATTGAAGGTGAATATGGGGATGATAGCATGTAAAGAGAATTTAAAATTTCTTGATCGATGGTTGGTTGGTTACTCGGGATTAAAGTGCTTAAGGTTGTGGGAGTCGTCAAGCATCAATTACGTGGAGTGGCTTAGAATGATCAAACAAGTGTTTTTACAAGTATTTTAATCGATACAAATTACTTTTAATCGATTAAAACCCTTTAGAACCCATTATGACCGATCAGATTTGAAATATGAGCGATCAGAACTTATTTCAATCGATTAAAACACGTTTCAATCGATTAAAATCACTTCAAGGGTCAGAATGATCGATCAGAATGCAGTTATGACCGATCAGAGTTGGTTATGATCGATCAGAATTGAATTATGACCAATTAGATCTGTTTCAATCGATTAAAACGCATTTCAATCGATTAAAATAACTTGGAAAAAATTTGTACAGAGTTTCAATCGATTAAAACGCGTTTCAACCGATTAAAACAACTTGGAAAAATTTTGTACAAAGTTTTAATCGATTAAAACTTCTTTTTATCAGCTAAAATAACTTGGAAAGTTTTATAAGAAAGTTTTGCAGTATATCAATCGATTAAAACACGAAACAATCGATTGAATCAAACTTAGAAAAGTTTTGTAAAGTGTTTTAATTGATATAACCGTTGTAGTATCGCCTAAAACAAATCATGTTAAAGAATCAATAACGTATTAATGGATTGAAAGGACTTTTAACAGATTGAAACTGCTATTTCAACAGATTAAAACAAACTTTCAACAGATTAATTAATGCAGCAGTTTTGAAAATACTCTTTAAAATCTGTTTGCTTGAACTTTTTAAACATACATTGAATATCAGTTTTTACACATCCTTAAGCAATCATTCAAGCAAACCTTAGCACTTTTTCAAGAAGGATTCGCAACAATTTTTTGAAGTTCTTTTGAAATATATTTTTAATAGCGGTTAGTTCTAGAATCGCTATCCTAAGTCTCGGGTCAACTCTCGCTCAAGCGACGGGTATTTTCGCTTGAGCGAAAAGTGATTGAAATATGTGGTGACCCAAGTTGCATTATTTGGCTAAACGTCCAACGCAGTTAGCCACATAACGCAACTTGGGTCACCACATATTTTAATCACTTCTCGCTCAAGCGAAATAGCAGTCGCGTGAGCGAGAATTGACCGAAGATAACCCTTTCTTACGGATTTCCTCGCTCAAGCGAAGGGTTTCTTCGCTTGAGCGATAATTGACCCGAGATTACCCCTTTGTTACAGATTTCCTCACTCAAGCGAGGATTCTTCGCTTGAGCGAGAGTTCATTGCGCGAAATAATATTATTTTAATTGCGCGAAATAATATTATTTTATTATGTGAACAGTAAATCGTGCTAGTTGTGTAAATAAAGTTTAAGAGGTGCTATTTTGGAAAATATTTTTAAAAACAGTATTATTTATGAAAAAAAGTCACTAAAATCATCATCATTAAACAACAAATTTGTTACCAATACAATTTCTCAAAATTCAAGGGAATGAATAACTTCGTTAATAGCTTGCCATGTAGTTTCGCGACTTCAATTTACCCATCCAAGAATCACACCATTCTCCCTCAATGGCATTGCTCAAGTGAACCCATCAACATCAGAAATCACCTCAGATTTTATATTACAGACGATTTTGTACCAATTACAAATATTTCCAAATGACAAGGCAATTTGAAGATTTGTTCATGAAACCATTAAAAAAAGATTAAATTGACTTCATATATGGCAGTTTACGAGCACAACCAAAAATCATGTTCATAGAGGAAGATTAAGCCCTTTGCCAACATCAACCCCAATCACCTGAAGTATTCCCTTGTTTATTATCTGCAAAATCAGACAATTATTAACCAAACTTAGCACCAATGCTTGTGCTCAAAGAAAGAATGTCAAAAAAATAAAACTAAACTAGACTCTTTTTTCATGAATTCAAGTTCAATATTCTTCTCTTAAGCAACCAAACACACACTATGTCATCAATTTTCAAAATAAACTCATTCCTCATTTCATTCTACAACCATTTTTTTATCAAATCAAAATCATAAAAGCCCTATGGTATAAGAGAAAGTGAAATGCATATCAATTAAAAAATGAACATATAAAATTAATACTCACAAACTCTACAACAAAAACTCCAATGATTCCTATCATGCAAGCTCTAGAGTTCCATACTTCTGCAGTCTTAGTGAACCCAAGAAACGGAGGCTTAAATTGCGGCTGAACTTTTGGAATTTCCACCTGAAACAAACAAACAAACATGCCCAGTTGCTTCAAAATCACCAACAACATTAACAAAGCGAATAATAATAATAACAAACAAAAACTGCACAAGAAGAATTAAAATGGAAATGACATAAGAAGCAAAAGTTGAAGTTTTACACCAGCAGGGGGCTTGGCTGCTTGAACAACGAAGGAAACCCTCTTCTTGGATCGATTCAAAGAACGATTATGAAAGAAAAAAAGTTGATTGTTTCGAGAGTTGAATGGTGGGGTGGTTGCAGGTACGAGTGATGACAGCAATGAGGTGGATGAAGTTGCCATGGCTATGGTCGGCAACCAGGACCAATGTTTGTTCCTGTGGCTTATCTAGTTCTCTCTTTTACTCTTTGTTCTTGTTTTTGTGTGTGTGGCTGAGATTGGAACAAAGTGGGTGACAAAGTGTCCACGTGTACCTGTAAGTGTGGTGAGTATTGAGTATTGAATATATATATATATATATATATCGAACTGAGCTAGGATCCTCAAGTGAGATTTTGCCCCTGAGATAGGTACATGCAATGGATCGGGGGCGGGTTTTGCCCTGCCCAATCTTTCGTCTTCAATTATTTTAGTCATCCCTTTGTTGATTCTTGTTGGAATTAGAAACTAAATATCTATTCTTATCTTTATTGGGTTTCCGGTTTTCCGATTCAATCTCGTCTTTGGCTTTTTTTTATTATTCTTGTTTTTTATATTTATTGGGGTTAAAAATTAAGTTTTGATTATCATCTTTCTTAGGTTTCGGGTTTTTTGTCTCCGTCTTTTTCCCGATCGATATTATTTTTAAAAAGATAATTATATTTATAATAAATTAATTTTACAATCTATTTTTTATATATAAATAAATATTTATAATTTTATAATTATTATTAATTAAATATACATTCAATTTATTATATTTATATTAAAATATGTATATAAAAGAAATATTTAATTATTTTTTATTTATAACATTATTATTATTATAACACTTGTATTCAAATATTTGAATATTTATAACATTATTATTATTATAATACTTGTATTCAAACATTTGATTATATATATAAATTAATTCATTTTTAAGTTATCATTCAAAAATATGAAATATATAATTTATAAAGAAATATTTAATAAGTTAATTTTTATTCAATTACTTCGAAGTAATAAAAGTTTAAATTATCAATTTCTTTAATCTTTTAAAATATAATTATTTTATTACGATAAAATTTGATATATGATAAATAAGAATAATAAGATAAAAAAATATGACATAATAAAATCTAATAAATATAAATTATAAATAAAATAATATTAGTTACTACTAAGATTTATGTAAAATATTTAGAAAAAGATAAAGAATAAAAAATAATTAACTTTGTGTTCATCAAATTGGTTGAAAAGATAAAAAAAATGTGTTGGGAGAGATTAAGGAAATATGAAAAAACTGAAAAGTAAGAGAGAATAATGTAATAAATTAATTGATATAAAAGATTAAAAAAGACAAAAAAATTAAAAAGTGGGTAGAAAAAAAAATGGGTGAAATATAAAAAAATGACTTTATATGTAATAGAAAAAGAAAAAGAAATATTTTTAAAATATTAATATTTTAAAATTTAAATTTAAATATAAAGTCGTGCGGGAACGAGGTGAGGGTGGGGATTGCATTATCCATCCCCGCCCCCACCCCGTCTTGTCCCCGATCGATATTATTTTTAAAAAGATAATTACATTTATAATAAATTAATTTTAGAATCTATTTTTTATATATAAATAAATATTTATAATTTTATAATTATTATTAATTAAATATACATTTCAATTTATTATATTTATATTAAAATATGTATATAAAAGAAATATTTAATCATTTTTTATTTATAACATTATTATTATTATAACATCTGTATTCAAATATTTGAATACTTATAACATTATTATTATTATTATAATACTGTATTCAAACATTTGATTATATATATAAATTAATTCATTTTTAAGTTATCATTCAAAAATATGAAATATATAATTTATAAAGAAATATTTAATAAGTTAATTTTTATTCAATTAGTTCGAAGTAATAAAAGTTTAAATTATCAATTCCTTTAATCTTTTAAAATATAATTATTTTATTAAGATAAAATTTGATATATGATAAATAAGAATAGTAAGATAAAAAAATATGACATAATAAAATCTAATAAATATAAATTATAAATAAAATAATATTAGTTACTACTAAGATTTATGTAAAATATTTAGAAAATGATAAAGAATAAAAAATAATTAACTTTGTGTTCATCAAATTGGTTGAAAAGATTAAAAAAAATTGTTGTGAGAGATTAAGGAAATGTGAAAAAACTAAAAAGTAAGAGAGAATAATGTAATAAATTAATTGATATAAAAGATTAAAAAAGACAAAAAAATTAAAAAGTGGGTAGAAAAAAAATAAAAATTGGTGAAATATAAAAAAATGATTTTATATGTAATAGAAAAAGAAAAAGAAATATTTTTAAAATATTAATATTTTAAAATTTAAATTTAAATATAAAGTCTGGGCGGGAATGAGGTCGGGGTAGGAATTGCATTACCCGCCCCCACCCCCACCCCGACTTTTTAAACCGGTAAAAACCCGAACCCGCCTCGCTCCCGCCCCGATCAACTTGAGTTTTCTCCATCAAACTCGGGACAAGGATGGGTCGGTTCCCACGAAGTACGGGTTTAATTCTCATCCCTAGATAAGATTATCCAAATTATGATTCAAAATTTAATTCCTTATTTTAATTTTGTATCTTGAATTTAACTCTTTATTTTCATTTTTGACAACATTAAACTTCAAAAACTAAAATTATAAATAATTAAAATTTTGAATTTTTTTTAATATTTTTAAGAATCCAAATAATAATATATTATTATGTGTCAAAACTTATTGTGAACGAGATTACTCTATGTTTAAGTAAATTAGAGAAAATCTCGATGAAAAAAAAATAGTTGAGAAAAAATATAAATAAATACTTTTTGGGACCAAATGTAAAATTTATAAATATTTTAAAAACTAAAAGTCGTGAATTTTTTTATTAGAAACTAAAGGCAAAACTTGTATGCTTTTCAGGGGCTAAAAATATATTTTAAGTTACAATATTTTAGATAAATAATATTCGGATTAAATAATATATTATTAATAAATAAATATAAAAATGTTATAAAAATATAAAATATTTTTTTATTTAATGATTTGATTTAATATTTATAAAAAAAATTAAATAAGTGATGAAAATTATAAAAATATATAAGTTGGATAAAAATCATATACATGCATGTAAATTATAAAAAAATAGAAGGAGAATAATCCCTTACCTCTTAAAAGACTTTTATATATATATATATATATATATATATATATATATATATATATATATATATATATATATATATATATATATATATGGACTTAATTGTGATTTTGCTTTCTCTTTTTTTTCTACAATTTAGCTTTTTATTTTTTAATTATATACAATTTTAGTCTCTAAATTTCATTTTACATAATGTTAATCCTTTAGTTTTTAATTATTCATAACTTTTGTTCAATTTTCAGTTTTAAAAATATATTAAGTGATGCAGCTCCTACGTTTTCAATCTTCTAAAACAAGTTTCGAGTATTATGGTCAATCTCACTTTGTTACATCCAAAGTAACAACTGAAAATTCAACAATGTAACGAATAATTAAAAATTATGAAATTAAAATTATGTTAAAAAAAATTGTGATTAAAATTACAGATAATTAAAAATTAAGAAATTAATATTGGTAAAAAAATATAAAACCAAAATTATGAATTTTGCAAAACACAGGGACTAAATTTACATCTGAGCCTAAAGTTAAAATTGCAATTACGAAAAAAATAGATATTTTATGGTTAATCAATTTAAATTTAAAATATTTTCAGCATATGTTGTTACTCTAAGTTATTATTTTCTATAATAATCGTTTTTTGTTATGGTTATTACTCTTTTTCCTATATATGATTGTTCCATCAATAAAAATAGGACTTTTTTTAAGTTCACTTTTATAAGTGATGTTATTTTTTGGTTTATTGGAATTTTAAGTATTTTTCTTTAATTATAGAACTTATTATATTGTTCTTTTTAGATATTTGTGTAATAATAACTTAAAATTTTTAATAACTTTTATTTTTTAATTGCTAAAGAAAGGTGTGAAAGAATTGGAGTATTAAAACAGGTTACTTACTACAAATTTTTTAAGTAGACATTAATGTAAAAGTAATTTAAATTAATTATATATATATATATATATATTAAATAACATTTAAGATATGTCATTTTAATATTATAAAATTATTATATCGATTGTCAGTCTCGTATTTGTCATAATAGTTTCGTTAGACAATTCTTGTGTCTAAATTATTATCTGTTTTAAAGTTTTAATTGACTCGATTTTGTTCTTAAAAGATGTATTAGTTGATGAAAAGAGAAGAGTATATATAAATTATTTTTGACTCTCAAACGATGTAAAATTTATGAATATATCAAGATATATCTCCTCTAGTTAAAGATTAAAGGGTATAAGTAGAACGAAATTTTGTTTTTGATCCCACAGTAAACATCAATTATTGGACACTCTCATTTATAAATGAAACATTATCTTAACTATATAGTTAATTGTAAAATAAAGCTAGAATTATAAAATATTTATGAGTGCTCTAAAATATATTAAATCTTTTAAAATTCTTGTAAATCTATAAAATATTTTATAAATCCTTTAAATGTAAATTAATTCTTTAAAGAAAAACATTACATTCTTAAAAAAATATTTCAATATTTACGTGACTTTCTACATGTAAAAAGTTCATTTGAAATCCAATTGAATGCTATATATATAGTTTGAATTTGATTGATTTAATAGTATTGAGTTATTTATATGCTTTACCAAACGTTTATTAATTACTGGGTCATAAATAGTTGAACAATTAAACATGCCAGATACAAGATGGCATTGATGTATACATTTCTATTGACTTCGGGTGTCGAAGGCAATGCTAAAAGAAAAAAGAGCATCTGTCGTTTTCTTTTTTTTTAATATAATCAATCATCCATCATCTCCTTTTTTATACATTATGTGATGGCATTAAGGGAATGTAAAATAAACAATATCTTTTACGTGTATAAGATCATATTAATGATTAGGTTGTTAATATTTATGTTTGTCCTTCAAGATTAGAGAATGTTCCGGAAGCTATTAACCCATTCTTTTAAAAAGGTTATTGTTATGTTACTGCATTTGTACTTTGAGTTCCTAAATTAATTTAATGGTACTCATTATAAAATTATTTCCATGGCACTTTTCATGCTCTGAGGACGAGAAACTCTTTGCATATAGAATCTTCTGTAACATTTTTAAATGGTCTAGCTAGTTCTTTTTTTAATTTTTCTAATAAAGAGGTACAAACTCAATGAGGCAAACTAGAGAGTAAAAACCAAGACACCAAACTCTGTTTATGTTCTTTCCTGTTTTCGATACGTGATTTCATTTTAAAATATAATACAAAATCAAATAACAAATAGACCAATAAAGAATGCGAGGAAATCAAATACAATGAAATAGATTATCATGAATGCAAATTTCACGAGTCTTTTTCTAAAATCAACGCCCCCCAGAGAGAAGTGATTCAGCAATTGAGGAAGTATGGGAGATTGGCCTATCCATAGATGAAGGATAAGACATTGGACAATCCTGAAAGTCTTCATGCAGACCAAAAGTTAAGCCAGTGGAAGATAAGCTAAGCAAAGACAAGTCTGGCAGAGGCACATCCCTCTCCAAGTACTGAACAACTTGGCGCATGCTTGGCCTAGCCAGAGGATCGGAATGTGAGCACAACAAAGCTAGTTTCAGCACCAACTCCACCTCCTCTGGCCTATAATTTGTTCCCAAGTTTGGATCCCTTGCCTCAAGAATCTCACCTCTTTTCCAATAATTATACACCCAATCAACCAGAATTTCACTACCAGATCCCCCCACTTGCTCTATTGGCCTTCTTCCACAAACCACCTCTAACATAAATGCACCAAAAGCAAACACATCAGAGTTTGTAGTGGCCTTACCTGTTCTAGTGTGCTCTGGTGCTAGATACCCCAGAGTTCCAACCACATGAGTAGTGTGAGGGTCAGTTCCATGCTCATACAACCTTGAAAGACCAAAGTCCCCCAATCTACCATTCAATTCAGCATCAAGTAGCACATTGCTAGCCTTAATGTCTCTGTGGACCACAACTTGCTCCCATTCCTCATGTAGATAAAACAGACCTGAAGCAACCCCTTTGGTGATTCTAAATCTCTGGCTCCAATTCAGGGTCACTCTTGGTTTGTTATAGAGATACTTATCAAGGCTTCCATTTGGCATGTAGTCATAGACCAATAGCAGCTCTCCTTTGCGCCTGCAATACCCAAGAAGGGGAACCAAATTCCTGTGCCTAAGACGACCAATGCTAACGATTTCTGCCACAAATTCTCTCATCCCTTGTCTTGATTCATGGGACACCTTCTTCACTGCAACCTCAATTTTTGAAATTGGCATCACACCTTTGTAGACTCTACCAAATCCACCACTTCCCAATAGCTCCTTTTCCCTGAACCCCTTTGTTGCCAGGCTAAGATCTTTGTACTTGAACCTATGAGGACCATAGTCTTGCTCCCAATCTTCAAGCAACTCCGTGAACTTCTTCCTTTTGATGACATGAACCACTGCTAGAGACACCATGATAACCAAACTGAATGCTATGAGAGGCAACGCAACAATAAGAACCTTAGACTCTTCTTTACTGCCTGATCTAGGTAGCTTGGGAAGTTCAGAGATGGCAAGTTGTTGAGCCTGGCCATTCACCTTAAAGCTCCAGCCCAAAACATAATGAGAACTTTGAATTGACCCAGTTGAGGATGAGAATCCAACATACATGATATTGTTAAGAACTGGAGAAAGATCTTTGCCCCAAGATAACAAAGGGCGTTCTGGTTTGCCAATGCCGATTGGAGCTAAAGTAACATCAATCTGCTTCTTTAGGCCATCATATTCCACCCATAACTGCATGGGGTAGCCACTGATGAGACTCAAATTCTTAAACCCCCCATCACCGTAATATCCTGCAGCAACTGATGTAACGGATTTCAATTCGTTGACATCAATTCCAACATGGTTGTCATTGATATCACCAAACTCAGTGTTCAGAATAGTATCAAGCTCTACCCCAAAAACATGGTTGCTGGTGTTGCCATTATTGGTGTCATCAAACAGGCCAAGGTACTGGCTTGGCAAAGAATTTGGAAGCCCTATTGTTGGAGAAACCACGAAAACAATTCCATGACCACTCAAATTCGGATACTCGGAACTTATGGCAAACACAAAAGTGGTGGAGAAAGAAGATGCACTTCCATTGGAGGTGTTCTTGAAAACTATTGGATTTGGGAAGAAAGCATGACCCTTTTGTTGCTTGGTGTGGTTGGTGAGTTTAAGCACGCCATTGGAGGTGAACCCAGCAGCGCCATTAAGATACAAATGAGATGACGATTGGAACCCATTATAGGTGAAATTGACGGTATCTTCACTAGCGACTGTTGTTGCCAGCACAAACACCACTGCTACAAACTTGAGAAACATGGTTTTCTATGTTTTGCAAATTCGATCCTTTCTTCTGGCCAAGGCTAGATTTCTTGCTTGTTTCTATGTTTTTTTTGAGTGCCCAAAACGTGTACAATACATTTGAACTTTCAATTGTGGTCCACGAGGAAAGATCCAGGCACTTTCACTCTAATGAAAACGAACTTCCTCACAGTTGCGTCTCTAGGTGTTAAACGAGGAAGTGACCAGAGACCATTCAACGTTTGTGATTTCAAAAGATTAAGTGTACCAACAATTTTATTTATGCAAAAAAAAAAATCGGATACATCACTTTCACTTTCACTTTGTCTCTACACTTTTTTCTTTTTCAAAATTCTATGTCACTATTTAATTCACAAACATGGTTATTACCATATGGTGCATAAAAAACATAAGGGACAAAACTACTGTTTCGCCAATGATTACACACACATTGTAACAAATCAATATTTGCCTTGTAACATTCCCAATGTGGCTAATCAATATTCTAGTGATTAATGGGAAATTGAGAAATTGTATTTATGGAAGGTTCCTCATATCGAAGTTTGTGAGGAGGGTCAAATGGTACGTGACAAAGAGGCCAGTAGGGACCCCTATCTTTAGGGACGATATATGCATGGTACTTATTTGTATTTTGGCAGGAAAAAGGCACCAAAGAAGGGGAAAAGATAAAGAGAAAAATAAGAAACAAGAATAAAGCCTGTTTAATTCTTGCTTCATAAGCATCTTGTGAGTCCAATAAAGTTGGTCCTCAGTTTCATGGATAAATTTCAAAAGTTTGTGACTTCATCATGTTCACATGTATAAGGAAACAATGATGAGTGAATTTATTACTCTGTAAGAAAATTTTGAAATTTCTGCATGAACTGCACTGTAAAAAAAAATTAAAAGTTTGTGTTTATTACCCAGTATGCCCTTTTCAGTTTGCATAGAAGTGGCGCCAATTATTTGAGCTCGCTATCAATGCACGAAAGAAATATATTATCAATTGTTAAGACAAAAACAAAAAAACATTTCATATTAGAAAAAAAATCCAAACATTTAAATTACATAATTTGTATTGAAAATTATAAAGGTTTAAGGTCGAACTGATGAAAAAATAACTGAGATTCATCCAAAAATATAATCGAATTTCTTTAAATTTTTTAGATTTAATTTTCTTAATTCAGATTTTAAACAGAAAATCAAGAACAAAATTAAATAAATTATTATATTTAATTATAATATTATATTAAAATATAATTTATATATATATATATATATATATGTTTCTAAAAATAATTAAAAATTTGTAATAACAAAAATAATAAAAATCAATTCAAATTTATCTTCATATTATTGATATAATTTAATTCAGATTTTATATTATATTAAAATTAAAATTAATTATGTTTAATATTTATATTTAATTTAAGTGATCATTTAATAATACACGTCGAATTGAGTCACATACATTGTTATTGAAATACTGAATAAAAATCATTTATTCATCTAATATAAGTTTAGTTGTTATTTTATTCTCGTATTGATAGATTAAGGGATTATTTATTTAGTTTTGTTATTTATTTTTTTCAAATTGTTTTAAAGATTAATTTTTAAAAATAAGTTAGAAAGAAAATGTTTGACTATTTTATTTTTAAAAATATTTTAGACAAAAGAAAATATAAATAAGACGAAAGTTTAAAAATAATTTTGATGAATTTATGATAAAAATGAGTCAACTTATGTAATTGCTGAGCTAAATATGGATACACATTAATTAAAATAGAAAATTAAAACGAAATACACTATTTATCATATTTGATTTTAAAAATTAAAAACAAAAATAATTTTATAAAAGGATATCAAATAAGTATCCTAAATTTTAAGAACTAAATAAATAAAAATTACTTCAAAAAAATAATAAACATGCAAGCCCCGCACGTTTATTCTTCCGTTGTAACATTTTTATAGCAAATTTACCCATTTATAATGTTTTAAAATATTAAGTTAACAAACTTTTAACTCCACCAATGTGTCTCTGCAGTTCTTGTTTTTTATTGTTGTTCTCATTTGTTTTTGATTGCTGCGAAATTAACTTTCCTTGGAATGCCATCCCGTCTAATCAAATTCTGTTTCTTTGTTAGCTTTTGATTGTATTCCATCTTTTTTTCATGCTTTCTTTTTCGTTCAAATTTTCCATCTTTTAATACTTTTGTCTCCTGTTTTCCCTCTCTCACTCACTTAAATTAAAGTATCTATTATAATCTGTTAAATTTGAAGCATGAAGTAATTCCATAGATAAATTTAATGTTGCCATCAAAAATTGCTTAAATATTATCGTGTTTTTCTTTTAATCTTTTTAAGATCTAATGTTGCCAACAAAATAATGTTGTCTATTTTTATAAGATCCCATCCAATCATTATTTAAAACCAAAAATCTCAAATTTATCTTCTAATCAACATTTTTATTTTATACGAATTACATATTCTTTAAATGGCATAATATATAAACGAAGCTTTTCCCATTAATATCACTGAACATAATAATAACAGAAACATACAAATTCATTCCCAACTACTTAATGAAAATTAAGGATATTAAAAGAGTATTTAAAGAAGAAAATTACGTTGAACTAGTTGCTGAAAAAGAAAATTAATATATTATTTGTATAGTTTATCCCTTACACCTTTTTAAGGAAGGTTCTATTATTAATATGTTTATTTATATTGTTAATAATATGCTTGGGTTCAAGACATTGCTTACTAATTACAATTTCTCATATTAAAATTTTTTGAGATCCGCGTGATCACATCCAAATAAAAATAAATAACAACTTTAACAAAATGATTTTAATAAAGTTAATCATACATTTAATAAAAAACACTTTTAATTGTAGAATTCAAATGTTAAAATGTTATTCGGGTCATTCTTATAAAACCCAAAAAATTATTTTAATTTTAGAGATGCTATAATTTTCTAGACAAAAGGGTACATTTGGTAATAAAAATAAAGGAGGGGAAATGTAAACAGGAGGAGTGTAAATAGTAAGAGTGATAAATAAAATGGACCCCATATGAGAACGGGTCTCATCTCATCTTGGGTAACACTTGAATGAGTATTTTTTTGTGAAAATAAAAAAGTAAAATAATGAAAAATATTAACCAAATGAAAGTTCCAAGTTCCAACCAATTCCATTCCATTGGTTTTGCCGTGCCCTGTAAACGTGAATTTTGAAAAATTGGACTTGTATATGCTCTTCGTTTTTTTTTTTTTTTTTCTGTTTTGATTCTGATAAAAAAATAATTATTTATGCTTTAGTCTCTATCTTTTATTACTCCATTAAGTAATGACCTGTTCAATCTTAAAATAGCACGTAAAGTAGGTTATTTGTAAATTTCAAAGCAATTGTTTGATCGAAGCAATTGGAATCTTATTTTCGTTAAACATTCACATTAACTAAGTTACTTTTGTTTTGCTTATTTAATTATGGTGACGTGCTTTCATTCTAAAAGCTATTCCCTTTCAATAGTGGGCATTACTTTAGTCACAACTTGGTCCACATAATGACTTCATATATTCTAGATTTCAAAATAATGCATACCGTGGGTAAAAAGTGCTTCTCAATACTCACCCGAACAAAGTGATCCCTATCCACTTCGGCTTGACATTTTTTAAATTTGAATGCAATATCGCGGTATTTGTCATGAATGGGAAACAAGGGGAAGTCTTTGAATGCTTGTGTTGAACGGACAATGTTTTAAAAGGATTCTGGATTATTGTGTTGAATGTCATTTTTCTTTTATATTTAAAATTATGAATGTCCAGTTATAACAATGGAAATGGCTTTCTAACATACAATCTAAAGTATTAAAAATTAAACTTGAACTGCGAAATTTCATGTTTTAGACAAAACTAACACAGTAAAAAAGGAATACACCAAAGGACACAACACATCACATCCTCTTCAAAGTGGTCTTCCTGAAACACTCCAAAAAGAAAACCATTTTTTAAGTAAACACATTTCTCACCAACCATAAGACATGACCGTGCAGTGTTGTTGCCAGGCAACTTAGTTTTAAAAAAAAATCTCTTAGATATTTTTCATTTACCTAGCTCTGTTAAGAAATGAAGGGGTAAATAATGACACAAGAAAATGGAGTACCACCAAGGGATATGAGAAGAATAGTAAGTTACAGATTTTCCCATTTCATTCCATCATATCCAAAATCTTTCTATAGTTGAGACTTACATCATGACATGCAAAAACAAACAAACTCTGTAATATGGAATCACCTTGTTTCTCCCCTGTGCAGAAGTGAATGAGGTGAATTAGCAAAAGAAAGAAAACTGTCCATGTCTCTATTGCCAAAATTGGAGCTTGAACTCATTTTGTCAAAGGAAGAAGATGCTAGTGAATGCAAGAACTCATCAAACCCCTCCTGCTGACTTATATCTCCTGGCTTTTTCAAGTCCTCTGGCACTTCAACTTCCCCATCCAAATACCTCACCACTTGCCTCATGCTAGGCCTAGCAGCAGGCAAATCATTTGAGCACAACAACCCCAATTTCAACACCACCAACACCTCCTTTTCATCAAAATTTTCATTAAGTTTTGGGTCCACCACATCAAGTATTCTCCCTTGTTTGTACTTGTCCCACACCCAATCCACCAAAACCAACTCTTCTGGCAATGCCTTAGGCTCAATTGGCCTGCGCCCACAAGCCACCTCAAGCAAAAGTGCCCCAAATGCAAAAACATCAGAACTTGTAGTTGCCTTTCCTGTTCTAGGCAACTCAGGAGCCAGATAGCCTAATGTACCCACCACTCTTGTGGTGCTTGGGTTAGCCCCATGTTCATACAATCTTGCCAAACCAAAATCACCTAGTCTTCCATTAAGCTCAAAATCTAGCAGCACATTGCTGGCCTTCACATCTCTATGTATCACCACCTGCTCATAGCCTTCATGTAGATAAAGAAGAGCTGAAGCAACATCCTTTATGATCTTGAACCTATGCTCCCAACTTAGGACAAACTTTGGCTCATCAAACAAGTACTTGTCCAAGCTCCCATTGGCCATGAAATCATACACAAGAAGGAGGTCGCCACGGCGGCGGCACCACCCGAGTAATTGAACCAGATTCCGGTGGCGAAGCCTGCCTATGCTGGCGATTTCCGACACGAATTCCCTTAGGCCCTGCTTAGATTCGTGAGAAACTCGCTTGACGGCTACCTGAATCTTGGAATTTGGCAATGTTCCTTTGTAAACTCTGCCGAAACCACCCTGCCCAAGTAGCTCTTTATCCTTGAAGCCTCTTGTGGCCTTCTTGAGCTCTTGGTAGGAGTACCTATGTGGTCCAATTTCAAGCTCCCATGCTTCAATCACATCGGCGTTCCTGATTTTCATGTAAAAGTAAATGCCAATGGCGATGGCTAATAACACAATCACAGCAACTGAGACTGAAACCCCAATTATCAAAGATGTTTGTTTCTTCTTTGGCTGTGGAAGCTGCGGGAGAGAAGAGAGATCAAGGGGCGGTGCTGGTCCATTGATTTTGAAGCTCCAACCCAAGATGTAATGGGAGCTAGCAAGCAAACCCGTTGATGCAGAGAACCCAACATACATAGTGTCATGAAAAACGGGTGAGAGATCCACATTAAAGGACAAGATTGGAGTTTCGGGTTTGGATGAATTTGGAGAAAGTGCAACGCTGATAACATTCAATTGAGAATCATAATCAACCCAAGCTAGAATCGGTTTTCCACTTTTGAGATTGAGACCCACCAAACTAACATTAGCAGATTTATTGGACTGCATACTATTGATGTCTATTCCAACATGGTTGTCATTAATGTCCTCAAATTCAAAGTCTTGCACAGTGTCAAACTCAACAGCAAAGATGTGGTTGGAGAAGTTACCATTATCACTGGAATTAAGAAGGCCAAGGTACTGGCTAGGAAGAGCCTTGAGATCCTTAGAAGTTGTTATTGCGAAAGCCAAGCCATGGCCACCTAACTTGGGGTACTCAGGGACAATAGCCAGAGCAAACGAGGAAGAAAAGGAGACAACTTTACCTGTGGTTGAGTTCCTCATCTGAAAAGGAGACGGGTAAAAAGCATGACCCATTAACCTGCTGGTTTCATTTGTCAACTTGAGTATTCCATTTTGCTCTATTTCAGCCACCCCATTCAATGTGAGATTGCTGGCACCCACATCCTTGAATCCAGCAAACAGAACCTGGTCGACCTGGGATGAAACAGGTATCAAAAGAAACACCAAAAGAGACAGCAATTTCAAAAGGGTAACCATGATGAACAAGATAATATATATAAAATCAGAGAGACAAGAAGGGTGTGAGAGATGACAAAGTTGATGGAAGTATAGTGCAAAATGAGATAAGAACAAGCACAATAGGTTGTTGTTTGTTAAATAGAAAAGTTGGTGAAGTAGATCTTGGAGGAGGAAATGGGGTGTCTAAAGAGTAAAGAGGAATGATATGATGAGAAAAGCACACAAGGAATGGTGCACATGGGCCAGCAGTTACAGAGGAGAGAGTGAAAGTGATAGCCTTTTTTAGGGGTTGGGGGTTGCAAGAAATCAGAAGTCTACCCTTTCAATAAATATACAAAAAATGCACATGAAGGGATACGAGAAAGGCCAAGGTACATCCATCCCTCTTTTACACTCATGACCTGAACTGAAAGGGGAAAAAGTTGAAACTTGAGACTTACATAGGTTTTACAATTGGGAAACCGACCTAAACTCAATTTTTGTGGTTTGAAATATGGGAGGAAAATTGAAAAAGAAATTTAGTTGTATGCTAAAAATTAAAATTTGGGTTTCTTAATCAGGACGATTTAGTAGAAAGTTTAGAAGGAAGACTTGAAAAAATACAAGAAAAGTAGCATCATTGGGGCACCACTAACTTTGGCTGCTTCCCATAATTTTAACTTCTCCGTTTCGTACTGTCATTTTCAATGGCAAGGAGCGAAAGATTCTCATGAAAGCTCACTTGGATAATTCATTTATTTTCCATTCTCTGCATACTACTGTCATCTTTTTTTACGGTGACAATATTCTCAATTGTGTAGATATGGAGATAAAAAAGAATATGAATGTTTATTTTTTTTGCAAAAGAAAACTCATTATTTTAATTAGATTTTATTTTCTGTTCTTCTGTTTTTCACTTTCTGTTTTTTTCAATGAGCAAATAATGGATCACGATTCATTTTGGACCATGTAGTATTATGTTTATATATATATAAGTGTATATTTTTTTTATAATTTTTAGTTGCATAGTCATAAGTTGATAAGAAATTATTAATAGTAACTTTTATTTTGGTATGGTTATATATTAAGATACAAAATTAAATATTTATGAAAATTACGAAGTCATAAAGTTTTATTGTGTTTGTGATATCATTGCAAGTCAATTATGTTAATTTAATGAAGAAGTTTGTCCTTGTTATGTACAAGGTACAAGGACATGTATAATAAATATGTATAAACTAATAATGTATTGTTGTTTCGGTTTAATCCATTATTTATAGGATTTAAGCAAAATTGTCTGATGTAAAAGACTCTTGCAGTTTAGACAAAAAAATAAATAAATTATAGAGTCAAAATTAATCTAACTTAAAATTTTGGCTTAAGGTGAATCCATGTTAAGATTAAATTAAAAACCTTAACTCAATATAATTAGCTTATAACCTATGGATTAAGTCAAATCCATTGTAGGATTGAATTCCAAATATAAACCCAAACCCACAAAGTTTAAAAATAACATAAAAGTAAATGACTCATAAATTGGTTTATTACATAAATAAATATAAATAAGTAGACTCCATTTTTAGTTGTAGCTCTGTTATCCTGTACTGGGATGTTCATGTATATTTATGAAATAAAATAAGAAAAAAATACATATTTATTTAACCTTTATTTCTAAAATAAATAAATAAAAATTAAGTAATTATATGGTTATAAATAAATTTATTTTAAGAAAACAAGATAAGAGTAATTTTTAGAAAATATATAACTTTAATAATCTTTTTATATGTGAATAAAAAATAAAATATAAAAGTAACATAGTTTTTGTAACAATTTTTTTTTCTATATCAGTCATTCTTCACAGTATATTTTTCTTTAAAATGAATCTCCCATTCGGGTTATAGACTTTGAATAGATTTTTTTAATTATTATTATTATTATTATTATTATAAGTGTAGTGCTTCTTAAACCAATGTACATGCGTCCAATTCAAAGATAAAGGGAAAAAGGTGTGTCAAATCTTATCATGTTAATCTAAAACAAGATAAAACAAACAAGGTACCAACTACTTTCAACGGCTGTCATGATTTTGGGTACACCAACTAAAAATCAAGCAAATAAAGGTCAATGATCTTTTCAATTAATTCTTCTTAATTACTATTTTTTTTTATTTAATATATTTCTTCAGCCAAAGGGTACCAAATGAGTGTGTTATAACCCAAAGTTTTAAATTCTGATTGGAGAAATGGTAACTGCTAAAGGATGAATAGATAGAATAGAGGAGTCACATTTTGAAAAGGCTTGTCGATGGTGGGGGTGGGTGGCCATGGTGGGTAAGGAAATCAATCATAAATAACAAACAAAACTTTCCACAAGCTTTCTCTGCCTATTCTGGTCTAAGCTTTGAAAGACAATTTAACATTCAACCATCCAAACCTATTTGCCAACTATGCATTAAACAAATCAACAATTTAGTTTCTAGGAATGCCAATTAGGGAACAAAACTTTGGGTTCTGTTCTATGCCTCTACATTACTTTACTGCATAAACAGCTTGCTGTTTAGTTTTATATTAGGAATGAAAGGAATTGTTTTGGATCAATATCCTTTAAAAACAGGACATATTTGAAAATATCTTTAGAAAAAGAAAATCTTTTACCATGTTTTGAAAATTTTATTTTAAAAAAATTATGGGAAAAATTAAATATTAATTTTTATGTTTTGATAATTCAAGTTTTGTTTAAACATATGTTTTTTATTAGAAGTTTTAAACATGTATGAATAATTTGTTCCTAAGTCATGAATAAATTATATTGTTAAGTATTGTACCACATTATTTATTTTAATATCTACATTTTTAGAAACTAGTCTATTAGTTTCTCAATCTTTATTACCGAAATCACCTATGAAAAAAATATAATAATAATTAAATGCACTAGTATAAGAGAATAAATAAATACGAATGAATGATGTTTAATAAGTAGTATTATAAAATTGAAAATTATCAATGACATTCTCTTTGTTATTAAACAGTATTATAATCAAGATTACATTTATTTTAACATTTAGTTTTTTGGTTCTGCAAGTTTGTAGATCTTGTGTAGTTTTTCTTCTTTGTTCCGTGACTATTTTGGTTTCCTGGTTGGTATAGTTCAATACTTTTTATTAAAAATAATATTTGTTTATTTATTACAACTTGTGCTTAATTTTTAAGTAATCTTACTTGTCATGTCAACATTCTCTAATATTATTATGGAATTATGGTTGTGTTAATAAGATTTGGTGATCATGAGAAGTAACTTAATAAACCTGTTGCTATGTAATTTGTTTAGAATAATTACTAGATAATCTCAAATCCTTTAGGTTGATTAAATCAAGATAAAATATTAGTTTGTTATTCTCATTTAAATATGTTTTAATTTTTTTACCTGAAATTTGATTTTGATTCGTATAGTTAAAAAAAATAATTATTTATCTTTAAATTTTAAAAAATATAAATTTATTTTTTCTTATCAATTTTATAACAGTAAATAAATGTTAAATTTAGTTATAAAAAAAACTAAAGTTACACATTTAAAAAATAAGAAGATTAAATTTATTAATTTGAAATTATAAAAAATAAATACAAATTAAAAAAAATAAAGAAAAAAAACATATTTTCTTTATTTCCTTGTTTATACAATTCATTGTTCATGCTACAGGATTTTAAAATTATATCAATTTTCTCTATCTTTACAACTCTTAAACATTAAATATTAAGTGCAAACCATTAATATAAAAACTCAATTCACCCTTCTATTCAGTAACAAATACCTCCTGCTTAATGCAATTAACAACCAATGTCTATAAAAAAAGAAACATTGTGTGCCACTATCCACCATTAAAACAAGAAAGAAATCTCATTTTTCTTGACCTTGGTTATACACCACAACCAACCACTATGTGCCATGGCAAATATTCTTCTATCCCTTCTCTCATTTTTTTTTCCTTTCTATCTTTCCTCATGTTTTTTTAATCTCTTTCTCTTCTCCAATTATAAACTTATACTTAAAATGATATACATAAGTAAAAGTAGTTTATCAATTGATATAGTTAAATATTCCACTCCAAACACATTATTTGCTTTCTCTTGATTATCAAGATATTCCTATTGCCCAATAATGCTCCAAATAGCCTTTCCCCAAGTCAAATCTTATCATGATAAATATGACATGAAAAAGGTTCCAACTATCGCCGCGGTGATAGTGGTAGAGAAGGTATGTGCAAATATAATCAAATATAAAATTATTTAAGATTGATCAAGAATTATAGTTAAATCTATTTCATATTTTTATTTTTATATAATATAATAAAAAATATATTTTTTATTATATTTACTAGAAATGATATTCAAATTAAAAACAATGAAATTTTTTACATAATAACATTAAACAACTGAAGTAATTGAAATTTATTTATGTTTAAGTTAATATTTATTCTTTTATACTTAACTTCAGAGGAATTGTGGAACAATATGCATGGTTTTATTTACATATATTTTTTTTTTTGACAAAGTGAACAATCCCAAATGAATGTAGAAGGAATATATCATATATGAATTCAAGGGATATGCATAAATGGTAGTGGAGAGTGGTAGGTAAGGAAATTTGAAAATAGCAGTGTCTATGAGTCATCACATCTCTCTCTTTGTCTATATCCAGTCTAAGTCATATTCTATGACTTCCTATGTCTATTATTACTGCGATGGTAGTCACTATTCTAAACCCTAACCCTAACAGTAGACACTAATTGTGTACAAGAACATTCTAAAAACGTTAGAGTTACAATGAGTGTGTATAATAATGCAATTCGGCAACTATTTTAATAGTCAACAAGCAGTGATGGAATTGAATTGGATGGGTCGAGTATCAAACCGACCACAGTGGAGAAGATCACCCCTTTCACTCATGGTACTATCATAAGTAAATTTCTTGTATTATTTTGTTAGTTCATAATCTGATAAAGTATTGCAAATTTACCATTTGGTTATTCAACATAACAGATC